AAGTCAGAAGTTTACATACATGTCCTTAGTATTTGGTAGCATTGCCTTTAAACTGTATGACTTGGGTCAAATGTTTTGGGTTTCTTTCCACAAGCTTCTCACAATAGTTTGATAGAGTTTTGGTCCATTCCTTCTGATAGAACTGGTTTAACTGAGTCAGGTTTGTAAGCTGCCTTGCTCCACACGCATTTTCAGCTCTGCATGCAAATTTTCTACGGGATTGAGATCAGAGCTTTGTGATGGCCACTCCACAACATTGACTTGGTGGTCCTGAAGCCACTTTGTTACTAATCTGGCAGTAAGCTTTGGATCATTGTCCATTTGGAAGACCTGAAGCTTTAACTTCCTGGCTGATGTCTTGAATATTTCCACATAATGTTCTTTCCTCATGATGCCATCTATTTATGAAGTGCACCAGTTCCTCCTGTAGCAAAACACCCCACAACATGATGCTGCCACCCCCGTACTTCACAGTTGGGATGGTGTTCTCAGGCTTGCAAGCTTCCCCCTTTTCCCTCCAAATGTAACGATGGTCATTATGACCAAACAGTTCAATTTAGTTTCATCAGACCACCGGACATGTCTCCAGAAATGAAGGCTCTTTGTCCCTGTGTGCATTTGCAAACTGTAATCTGGCTTTTTTATGTTGCTTTTGGATTCATGTCTTTTTCCTCTCTGAGTAGCCTTTCAGCCCATGTCGGTACAGGATTACCAGCTTCAGCAGCATCTTCACAAGGTCTTTTGTTCTGGGGTTGATATGCACACCTCATGTCTGGGACTCAGAACCCGTCTCCTTCCTGAGCTGTATGATGGCTGGACATTCCCATAGTGTTTATACCTGCATATAATTATTTGAACAGATGAACGTGGAACCTTCAAGCATCTGGAAATTGTACCCAAGGATGAACCAGACTTCTGGAGGTCCACAATCCTCTTCCTGATATCTTGGCTGATTTCTTTAGAGTTTCTGTGTTGTCACAAAAGGAAGCAGTGTGTTTGAGGTGTGCCTGAAAATACATCCACAGGTGTGCCTCCAATTAACTTAAATGTTGTCAATTAACCAATCAAAAGCTTCCAAAGCCATGACATCATCATCTGGGCTTTCCCAAACAGTTTGAAGGCATAGTAGTCTTAGTGTGTGTAAACTTCTGACTTTGAAGAAAGAAATAAAATAATTCTCATTATTCTGGCATTTAGCAAATAGAAATAACTTTGGTTATCCTAACTGACCTAAAACAGGAAAAGTTTAGTCTGATTTAATGTCAGACAGAGAGATAGAGAAAAAAAGGTTATGTGTCTTTTTATACAGGGTATGTAAACTTCTGGTTTCAACTGTATATAGAGAAGAAACATTTATAATGTGAGGTGCTCTTGTTTAATACGCCTCCATGTAGATGCAAGAGCTTTTGAAGCTGCACAGAGAGGAAAAAAAACCCACAATAATCAATTGCATTAACTGAAGTGGGCACTCCAAACATGGGCAGTGGAAATTATGCGAGCACAGTAGCCTGTGTTTAAGATGGGCCTGTGTATTCAAGACAAAAATCTGGAGTGGACTCATGCTGAGAGGAAATCTGTACTACTTATCCGTGTTAGCTGAGAGACATTTGTGTCTTTGTTCTCCACAGCGGGGCTTCTAAAGATCTCCTTCAGTGCCGAGGCTAACATCAGATAGAGCAGCTCCATTATCTGTTTCAAAGCTTTCAGGACAGGCATTTGACAGTTGTGTGACGCTGCCTGGTAGACGTCCTTCCAAACAAACATCTGGGTGCCACATCAGCTGTGACAAACTGCAGAAACAGGCTTGAACACCTTATTTTAATTCTCACACAGAAGACTTGAGCGCAGACAAAAACAAAAACACCTATAGTGTTGAGTGGCTGATGTGAAAATCTGGGTAATAAGTGCCTTGTGCTTTAAAATAACACACAGAGGTGTACTAAAGTGAACTGACAGCCCGTGCTCGGCAGAGTGGGGGGTGGGTGGGTGTTAACGCTGTGCACAAGTGCACTTTGAAGGCGTTTGACCACAGCCCTTAGCTAACACGCTGACCCCGTGCTTGACCTCGTTGCCCTGAGACGTTCCCAGTTGTTAGAGCTCCAGATGCTTTTCCCTGCGGGGGAGCTGCTGTCAGAGCTGCCGAAAACTCTCCCCGACGGCCATTGTCACGGACACAATGCAAGGGGGATGAATGCGGCGAGGGAGGTAGAGAGAGTATGTGGAACCACTGAGAGCTGCTCCGTCCTCCAAAAACGAAAGAATGTCTACAACTTCATTTTTGTCAGTTTCCTTTGTTGCTTTCATGCGGCGCTGCACACATGCTTTTACAGCCACGCACTCCTTTGTACAGTGAAAACAACACCCTTTGTTTTAGAGGACTGCTCACTTCACACCTACCATTCACAATTATTTGAGTCTGTCCATTCAGCTGTTATAGTGCGATGCTGAGCCTATCCCTAAACCATTTTTTGTCAATTTTCCAGTCTTGGGAGCATTGTGTTATTGCCCATTTCGCACATCTTATAGACAATTCGCACATTTGCTCCACAAAAGAAACACAAAAAAGGAGAACCAATTCTTTTTTTTCCCTTTCCACTAATGACTTCATTCTCCTCTCAGACGAACCCTGGAGCACATCACTTGTATACTGCCATGTTTTTTTTTTTTTCTTCCCTTGCTAGAATCTAATTGACCCAATTAATAAGGGTGGGTGGGTGGTTGTGAGTGAACCGGTGCTGAAAAAGGAAGTTGTGGCCCTTCTGATTTAACCGAGGTAGTGTAACACAACACCAGGCTTATAAGCTTTGTCTGTGCTGGCTGCCGTGAATCTACGTTGGCACGTCTCCAAGCTTTTTGATAAAGGGAGGGGAAAACAAAGAGAGAGAAAGTGAGGCGACTCGCTTTTTTTTTTTTTTCTTTGCAGTCCAGCAACTCTGCAGGGGTTTTTGGCAGCTGAAGACCTTCAAAAAGCATACACTGAAACTAATGGACTGAGGAGGCTGCTGCTCCATTTGGAATAATACTCTCTGCTAACAATTCGGAGATAATTAGGATTGGAAGGGTGTGCGAGGGCGAAGTTAAAACAGTTTCCAACAAAGGAAGTGTGTGTTAAATTCTGGAACAGTGACCACTCCTGTGAAAAAACAAAACAAAACAAAAGTTCCACATCACTAAGACAATGTGAAGCGCAATTTACTTTGAGGTTGCTCTCTTGATTTCCGCACGCAGGGGTTCTGCTCTGATTCTGTGTGTGAGAGCAAAGCAGAGCGCCTGCCCCGGGGCTTAAATCACGGTGAAGTCTTTACGAGGTTGTAAATTCGAGACCGATGTCTCGGCAGTCAGAGGAACTTTAGGAGTAGAAATGCATGTGGGACAGCGAGGAGATTAAATAAATCAACCCCCCCCCCCAGCTAGCAAACATCCATTAATCGCCGTGTCCATCATGTGCAGCTGATCGTGTCTGCCTTGGCGGCAGCAGGGAGTGACAGGATACAGGGATTGCACCGGGGGTATAGATTACATCTCATCTAACCGCCTGGCTCCCAGAGACGACTCACTTAGCGGAGGATGACAAATCCTGCACAGGGGAATATCTTTGCACTGAGGAAAACAATGCCTACACGATCTGTCATCAAACCTGTCACGCAAACACAAAAGGGCTGCCACAACAAACTGCATGTACGATAACGGAGGTCGGTCTGTGGAGCTCACCGCTGCTGCAGAGGCTTCAGAACGGGCCTCGCTCTCCTGCGTCGCTTTGCATTTTGACTGCAGGCTCCTTTTAATATTACACCGCAAACATGGGAACATAGTTTCATAAACCACAAGTGGAGATTGTATGAAATTTCTATTGAGTGCGAGCCAGCATACCCATACTCAAAGAACAAAAAAAAAAAAGCTATTCATGCTTGGTTGCTCTCTCAAGTGGCTGGAGGTGTTAGAAGTGGTTTCTACTAATCCAAGTGTCTTTTACACAACATGACAGCTTGTATGATGTTTTCAAAAAAAACAAAAAACTTTGCTTTCTTTTTCAGAGAGAAATGTAACAATTCAATCACAGGTCAATGCCGAGAGAGCGCGGGCTAATCCATTTAATGATCGATGCAGGGCGAAGCAGGAGTCAGCATGTTAGGTCAAGCTGACATTTAGTTCCAATGTTCAGCGAGGGGAAAAAAAAAAGAGAGGAGGAGCAGGGAGGGGAAGCAGTGCTCCGGTGCCCCTCAAGCAGAGAAGAGACTGATTGAGTTTTTCAGTGATTTGACAGAGCCTCAGCAGCTCCATGCGCTTACAGAGCAAGACAAGAGTGTGCATCTTCTCTCTGGTCTCGAACACTAAAAGGGACAGCCCCGTGCACAGCATCTATTGCATTTTTTTTTTTAGAGCAGAATTCAAGACTGGTGCTGGAAAAATGTAGAAATGAGAATGTGAGGAAGGAGAGAGAGAGAGAGGGGGGGGGGACCACTAAATCCCTGCAGACCTTTTATCGTGTCTGCATCTGGGCGTCGAGCCTACAACATCAGGCACACATTTTTCAACTGGGCTTTTTCCAGACGAGCACACCACTTGGCTGAACCCCGGCCAAGAGTAAAACAGAGCTCATTACTGAATGTGCTCGCGGGCTCACATTTCAAATGTGTAAGTAATTGTTAAATATGAACTAGGAGGAGGAGGAGGAGGAGGAGGAGGAGAGAGCCATCAGACCTGTATCGTTTTGGGAAGAAAGTGCGGATTCCACATATTTGGCTTGGTGGAAGGATACGCCCACGGACGATTTGAGAACACACATGTGCACTTTTCAGACTTTCATACGGAGAGTGTGCTGAGTGCAGCTGGCTCTTTTAAGGCTCACTGATGGCACTTCTGAAACTCGATAATAAAGACAAGGGAGACTGCATCTTTTGCCGGCTTGGCCATTCAATTGGTCCTGCTGTGACAAATGACTCATCTAATCCTCTCCTCTAAAGCACTGATGCATCATGGGGGCTGAGTGGCACTTCCCATGGCTCTGAAGGTAATTCTCTCTAGATGAAGGTCTCTGATGTGTGAGTGGATGGATTTGTGAGTGTGTGTGTGTGTGTGTGTGTCGGTGAACTTACTTGACCCTCTGGATCCAGATGCAGTAGTCTGTGATGTACAGATCGTTCAGTATGTAGGCCGGGTCGTTCTCTCTAAAGACTTTGTGAATATCCAGCAGGCATTTGAGGACACAGGCTTTCCCTGGGCACGGGAACACAGCGTGGCAGGCAAATGGAAAAACGGTGTTATTCGCGCTCAGTATTAAGGATGACAATGCACTCCAGCTGCTGGCAGACACAGCATGCATCTAAAGGCTTGCAGTCATTGTTCCATACATAAAAGCCAAGGTACAGGATCAGAGGGAAATCCCCGTGTGCTGCACAGTAATTTGATCCATACGGTTGAGACAAAAGAGCCAAGGAAGACCACTCTATTTCTGGCATCATATCTGTCAATTTAATGGAGGCTCTGCTCAGAGTCTGTCATAAAATTTGCTCGCTTTTGATTTATCAGAAATAGCACTGAATGGTTTTGATGATTTTTTCCATTTGACATCAGTTCTGACGAAGGCCTGATTTACAAACTTTGCACACATCAATAAATTTAATCCGGGGAAGTAACGATGTGCACGGCACCAAACACAAATGCAGGTCACTTAACCACACGGCTTGAAGCGTTTTTATTTTTGTTAAGTGATCGAGGAATTATTTTCTAAAAAATCCTGAGTGGTTGTAAACTAGAGGATCATAAAGAGAAGCAAATTCCTGATAAAATGTTCTGTTTTAAGTACAAATTAAGTCACCTATAGAAGATTCAGGCAGATCTGAGGGGACATAGTTTTTCAGAAGGTGACGTAAGATGCAGTTATTCTACTAACTCTAGAGAAATGTAAAAATATCAGCTCTTGTGCGACAGACAACACAAGCATGTTCCTCTGTTGTAATAATCATGTTTAGGGTACGTCTATCCTATATTCGGCAGAGTAGTATTTCAGTGGTGACTCAGGTGGTCCATGCTTGTTAGCGTCCAGCCGCCCACCCATTCTGAGAACATGTGGAAAAAGATTCTCTGGTCTGGCGTGACTAAGCTGATTTCCGACATACTTTTGTTTTTATCAGCTCTGCATCTATTCTCTTAATGAGGTTCATATAGGCTTAAGTTACCCCGTGATGGCTGTTAGACATTAGACATTAGACATGGGATATGTCACGTTGCTGGATTCATGAATCTCTTACATTGCATTCTGTCATTCAGACATAGGTCACTTGTATGTTGATGTTGCTCATGGCTTCATTCAGACAAACCCACCACGGTGACTGAGAGAGCCACAGTACGTGTTATTTATATATTATACGTTGTACATGTGAGGCTGACAGTACATCAAGTGATGTGTCATACATCTTAATTAATAATAAACAAAACATGCAATTAAAACTAACCTTATCAAACTCAACAAATAGTCAAGTATGAGCTCCTTAATTACTGAAAACTTCGTCCATGTGTGATGATAATGCCAGTACTGCTTTAAAAGTAGGATGTGTAACAACTGATTTAACTGCAGCTGATAAACTGTGACTCTCTGTGTGACAGCTCAGCTGTCTGAAGTGAAGAAAAGCACACAGTGTGACTTATCGTTAGATCAGGATTGATCATGTCTCCATGTTCAATGTGAAGAAATGTGCACAAGTTTCTTACTTTGGAGACGCTGATATGGATCCTGCAGGTATTTATTAAACTCAGAGGAAAGACTCCAACAAACAGATGAATACAAACATACGTACATCCATTAGTGATGAGTTTCATTAAAATTACATTACTCTCTGTCTTAATTTCAGTTAGCTTTTGCTTTTATGGATGTTTAGTTTGTAATCGATGTGAAATTTTAGAGCGAAGTGAATTAGAAAGGTATGTCGTGACATGCAAACTCTGTCTTTTGCTCTTTTGCTGTGTTGTTTTTGGACCAATATTGGTGTTAAAATGTAAAAAAAAATCTCTCCCAAAACACTTCACACAACTCAAAGTCTGTCACTTGTGAGTGCCTGTCTGTTTATGTGACGACATGCAGTCCAGACGTGTTACTAGAGCCCGACCCAGTAAGATTGCCATCGCAACTTCCGCAGAAAATTGAGCCGGGTGTTCATTAAGACATAAAGCAGACACATTCAGCTGGTGTCAGATTAATGGAAACGAGTGCATGATTGCAAAGGGTTTCAGTTTTCAGGCAGCTGCAAATATACTTGTAATAACTAGAAATGAGCATGTAAAGTGAATACCTTTCAAAGCCTTCCCCTAAGGGAGCATGTCCTCAGAGCCTTTCATTTGTGGTTTTCTCTATCTACACAATTTTTTCACTTTCTTTTTACTACGTACTTGTTGGCATCCCTAATCATGTTCTCAGAGTCATTCTTTGGCAGTTTGTAAATTTTATCTGGTGACAACGCTGCAGCAAAGATGAAGTCCATAAACTATCTGAGTACATTTAGTGTCACCACTTTTATAGACACTTCAAACTTGTGTGGAATTAATATGTGTGGAACAGCCACAGAGGTGAAACCTGCTGTTTGAATCAACCATTGCAAAAAATTTGCAAACCTGACAACTTACTGAGCTTATGCTTGATTTAGGCTATCGTCTTTCTAATGACTTGTGATGCGGTTTTCATTTATAAAGTCGTGTTCCACCTGGATATGTTGATTATCTGGTTTTTGGGGGGTGTTTTTGGAAGAAGGCAGAAGTGACCGGGTTGGCCTGCCCACAGATCAATAAGACAATCATCTACAAGGAGCAACGGAGGCAGACCTTGATGCTTCTACTTCCACGAGCCTGTTGCAAGAAGCATGTAGGCAGCTTGAGGAAATATGTGCTCCTGAATGCTGGTCCAGTAAATAAAACAGCACCGGTACAGCTTCATGCTTTGTTTACAGTCACTGGTAGTATGCAGCCCCACAGGAATACTGTAAAAGTGAGTTTATGACCTCAAAAACACAAATTTATCTTCTTTTTAGGGTTTCAAGTTAGCAAAGAGGCCCATATGTGAAGTCACGATGCTTGCCACATTGTCCTAACAACATAAACAACGTCACATGGATGGATAGGAACAGCAAATATTTAAATCATAGCTTTTCATTATTCAAGTTCATGTAATGATTTAAATTTGTTTATATGCATTTGTATAAAAAATGACCATAACTGTAAAAGAAAAAGAAAAAAAATGACATAAATCCTTTCTTTCAACCCATTTCCACTCTGTTGTTGTTAATTTCATGTTTGCGGCATTCCAAGTGGAACATCTGAAGCATATGAGGCAATATGAAAATAATTACAGACCATTTTAAATTAGGCATGATCTAAACATATCATCTACCAGCCAAAGTATGTAAACTACCATACATGTTTATTTACTAAATAATGGTGCTTTAAGCCATGATTGACACCTGCGCTCTGACAGTGTGTTTTGAAATTGTCTGAGGGCGAGGCATGCGTCATCCTCTTCAACGCCGCAAATGCATCACACATGCGGAAACGGCACCAAAACTGCTTTTGTTATTCTGACAAATGGTTTTTCCCTAAAGTACACAACAAGCCAAACTGCCGCAGCATTTCTCCCTCTAATCAGGCATATAAATAGCCTTATGATGTGGCCAACAATCCACTGAGGGCAGGAGAAAATGCTCCTCTCCACCTCCACAGAGCTGGTTGGCATTGTCCAGAGACATTCCAGACCAATCAAAATAAACAGCGCACTCACAGTGAGGAAAACCTTAAACAAACATTTGGTTCTCATTTAAAGCATGGGATCGTGTGCAGGGAACTCTGCCCTTAAAAAAAAAAATCAGGGCTTGGATCATGTGAGGCAAAATCTCACTTGCTTCCAAGGTTTGATTTCTTTTTCAGAGGGTAGATTTGTAAAAAAAAAAAAACTGGAGGAAAGGTGGCTCTCTGCACCGATTCAACACCGACAAGGTGTGTTAATACGGTGAAATCCGGTTACCCAATGAGCGCGGAAGAATGTGCACTCCGAAAGTCTAACAGTAAGTACTTCATAGCTGCTGAATGGGCAGGCTGGTATCATAGTGGTGGGTGTGAAATGGACCAAAAACAAAAGCCTGCTGTGTCTGTTAGACGCTATTGTAGATTCCAAAAAACTGCAGCCGCAGCAAAGTGAAAATGGCACATTTTTTTTTTTCATTCCATGCTGTGTCTCCTTTGTTTGTGTATTATAATCAAAAGTCAGACCAACGTACAGACATCAAAACACAATAAATGAGACCACCTGTAATTTTTTTCTAAATATGGAGGCAAAAACATAGTGCTGCCGACGCCACGCTGCAGAAGGGTGGCACTATCTCTCAGCAGTGTTCATCTTTCATAACATACTTTGTCACAGTTTTTTTTCTTACAGTCCGTCTTACCAAAGATATTTAAAATGAGAAAATGTTGTAGTCCAGTAAAACGCTGACAGGAGCTAAATAATAGAGCAGATTTTGTCCAATGGGATTTTTTTTTTAAACAAAAATGGGAGCTAAAGCTTTTGACAGTCTTAAGGATACCAGAAAGCGAAGAATATTGGTTTACATTGTCCATGTTTTGCTCTTTTACAGGTTCGTAATGTTATTTTTGGGGTCTACTAGAATATGCTTATATGCTTTAAAGATCCCCTACAAGTTTTTTTAAAAAAAATCATATTAACATGACGAGGCAGCAGCTCATTCTTTGTTTTAGGGCGTGTCCAAAGTATCCCTAGTCTGGTGTTATGCAAATGCGTTACAGACTTATGTACTTATAGATAAGAAAGAGTAAAAAAAAAAAAAAAAAAAGCTTGGACTTTAAATAAGGCATTTCAGGCAGGTAAGGAGGAGAGTTTTCTAGAAAGAGAAAAACTTTCTTTGGACTTCAGGCTTCACATCAAAAAAAGCCAGAACATTCTAAAGGAAATAGGAAAACCCCAAAGCATAGCATGGGCTCTTGAATGTTTGAATGCCTTGGCGGCTGGAGCAGCCGTTCAACTGATAAAATAAATAACATACAGAATAAGTGATCTCTGTAAAGGTTCTTTAACTCAAGCGAACAGCATTTCTCAAACTCCATTACATCCTCTCCTCTCACCTTTTAGAGGCAGCTTTTAGAAAGCAGCGGGGAGAGTTCGGCGTTTGACTGATTTCACAACTAACGATGATGCGCTCGAAAAGCATGAGAGACGCATCTTCACCCCCGTGTCAGGTCTAATGTGAATTTATCCCTGATGGTACTTTTTCTATCCCCCCCTCCTCCTCAGTCACACATGCACACACACACAATCCATGCGTCTCATCCAATAAAAGATCACCAGCAGCCTGAACCTCCCCTGGCCCGAATGTAAAATTTCATTACTCTTCCTTGATTTTCCATAACTGGGTCAGAATGCCTTATTTGACCTAAAATTTGACTTCCACTGATTAAATTGCCCAAACTTTCCCAGCTCGCACCAGAAGGAAATTCTACAACCGCTGCAAAATAAAAAAATAAAAAGAAACGAGTGGGAAGCAGAGAAGCACGGTGGATGGATCTGTAACAGAGGCCACATCTGACATTTCTTGTCTTGTCCTGTCAGTACGATCATGACAGCAGCGTGACCCGGAGGTCCTCCTCGACGTTTCCTCGCCCCCCTCAGGCCCTCCGCTCTTCTGTACCTGCCCGGTGGCTCTTTAGTTACAGCCACTTAAGAAGCAGGTGGAGGAGCTCCTTGAGAATACTCGCCACGCTGCCAGAGGGCTGTTCAAATATTTACCCCCGGATTACATTTCCTCCAAGGCCTTAACCTGTGCGCTGCCATTAATGGGTTTGTTTTGCTAATACCTATGAATGTTTGCTTTTACAGCCACTCATATGAAGTGCCTCAAAAATGGAGCGTGCATTTCCATTTGCCTTATCCTGACAAATTAATTAGTGTGCAAAGTAATGCTGGGAGGAAACACACCCTCAAACACGCGCCAGGCTGAATTACTGTAGTGTTACAGTTCATTAAGGAAAAGCCCCGTTACTCATTCCTTCTATAATTCTTGTAAATGCTGACGGTTAGGAGTCAAGAGTGAACTTTATTTAAATGAATTATACATTTAACCAAGCTAAATAATTTGTCATTTTTCCTTTATTCATTCTAACAATAAACAACCTATCACTGATGTTTAGCCTTTTTATTATCAGCTGGCTGGAGTATGATGTTCCGTTCTGAGTTTTAAGGAAACGGACACACTTCAACAAGAGAAAATCTTGATCCGAGGTAAAAGAAAGAAGGTGAGCAGAAAGAGTGACTAACGGCCGCTTCCCTGCCTCTCCTGATCAACTCATCTTCCTACTTAATGAGGCGAGGAAATGCTAATCTGGAGCTTAAAAGGCCTTTAATTTGCTGTCATTTACCAGCGTTAAAATCATCACAAGCTGGATAATCTTAGCCCTCACACATCCTGAGTGTGTTTACACTGCTGACTTTCAGCTGTCTGCGGGGGCTTTTGATTTAAAGATTACTCCGGGCTTTGAGATATCAAAGTCAACAGTCCGTTCTCCACTAATCCACGTTTCGTTTCCCCGAGGGGTGGGAGCCCGGCCACTCTCTTGCTTAGCTGGAGGAATATTACTTTCAAACACTCGCTGCAGTATGCTCGAGAAGCACTTTCTCTGACCGGCAGGCTGTTTCTGCTAGACAATACACTACAAAAGCACGCCGGCTGTCAAGCTGCCTTTTCAGCAGCATCGACTCGCAATCGAGCTGCATCCCACTGCTTACGGGCATGCAGCAGACTCTATCTGACTGCACATGCTTTAACCTATTTACATATGAAAACACGGTTCAGAAGAAACCACAGGGTGGACAGAATCAATTATCACCAATTAGCAAAGATCATGTGTTAACAATGGGCAGGAATTAGGTTCGAGTTAGCCTCTAGTTTGAACTAAAAACCGCAAAGACTGACTTGAGAACATGTGGCAGACATCAAAGGGTCACTACCAGCCTGCAGAGGTGAAACGTTACTGTAATAATGCCTCTTTATGAGCTTGCGTGTGTGGAGGGTGGTAGCTGGTGCGGTGCTTTTAGGAAAACTCACCTGACTGCAAAACCTTAGTCGTGTCACGAACGGCCGCGGAGACCAAAGTGAAGTGTCTGTGGAGTGGGTAACACAAAACCCTCCGTCCAAACGACACCAGGACCTCCTGCAGGGAGCTGTATGTCTGCAGGACAGAGAACATGACATCCATAAAAGATCCTGCACAAACCCAAACCATGATTTTTATTCGAGGAGAGAAAGAAAGAAAGACGAAGATGCAACTGACAGAAAATGCTTGTTTCTGCCAGATGCTCTGACCCAAGATCATTAGATCGTCTCCTATCCTTAGGTTGAATGCCGGCACTCTTTGGTGAAGCTGACGGTGCTCTAATTACTCTTAACAACTCCTCATTTATAGAGCTGGCAAAATAGGGGCTCGCAACTCTTAAACACCTCTACAGCCCTGGCCTGTTAATTGCTGCTTCTCTTTAATCACTGCCATCACTCTCAGATGTTCTCTGCACTAATAGACACACAGCCTGGAGACAGAAGCAGAGATTTTTATCCCGTGTTCCTTTCCCTCCTTTTTTTCTTTGTGGCTTGTTAAGGATGTGTTGCGAGCTTGCGAGTGCGTGTCATCGGGGATCATGCTCTCCCCTGGGCTTGTTTAGCAGGAGTGTAAATAAGGTCTGCTGCTGCAGGGGGGGAACTCAGTCACACCAGCGCAGTCGACTGAGGACAAGTAAACATGCAGCAGATGGAGGGAGGAGGGATGGTGGTGTGGGTGGGATGAAGTGGTAGGGAAAGGGGAATGTCTGGCATAAGCGAAGCAAGAGAGACAGCCAGCGAGAGCATAAAAAAAAAAGAGATAGCAGAGAGAGGAGAATGGAGTGAGGAAGCAGAGCTGATATCGGCGGTGACACACAGATAGACAGGGAGTCAAAGACAGAGAGGAATCCATAGTGGAGCAGAATGCGAAGGGAAGAGGAGAAGGCTGGGAGGAGGGGGTTGAGTGAGGTGGACTGTCAATGGGAGCCGACAGCTCCGTTGACTGACTGACGAGCGGTAGAGCTCTGCCAGGCAGGTGAAGACAGTTCTTTACTTCACTGTCACCACGGCAGGAAAACTACCATCTCTCAAGCTGCGGTCGAGGTCCAAGCACCCCTTCAAGGAAGTCTCACTTGGCTTCTATACAACCACAACAGAAATTCTTCTTGATCTCAAGTGGTGATGATGTGTGCAACACCTAATGAGAACGCGCTGGGATCCCTTCAAATGTGCTCTGGGACACGTTTACCACATCTGCGTCGTGGCGCTAACTCGAATGCGTTGCGAACATTAATGAACGATCACCTGTTCAGCTGCATCATCTGTCCTGGCAGATGGATGAGTACATGCAACAACTGGCAACAACAACCTTCAACCCCCATGAGCAACAACAATAACAGAAAATAACAATACGTATCTCTATCGAGCACCAGTGTGGGTCTGTGGAAACAGACGCGGCGCAGTCTTCAATGACTAAGTGTCAGCTGAGATTTAAGCTTGATTTATAGCTGTGTGTTAGGGGATAACAGTGTAGCAGATGTGCAACTCCTAAATAATTTGACTGCACTTCAAGAGCTACAACTCAACTACGGGGACGAAACTGCAAAGTGGGACAAGCGATTTCACTTCCACAAGTGAAAGCCTTGCTCGTTTTTCCCCATTAGCAGCGTTAGGTGACTGACGTTTGGAGCGCTTCCACAGCTTGGATGAACAAGGATCATCAGTATAAAACATTATGAGCCTAGAAAATATCGTCCAAAGCGCTCGTCTGGGCACATTCCAAGCTAGACATCAAGTACAAGTCCCATGGTGCACCTAAGCAAGAAACATCACTACGCCTAATATTCCATCACATGTGCCGCTAAGGGCAGGTGGAGGCTACAGACTACAGTTCGACTACACACTCTGCAGCTTCAGTCAATTCAAGTTACATTTCTTGGTTAACGGTGGGTGAATCTATTCAGCAATATCGCTATGTTTTGTTTTCAAATGTAACACGAAGGTTTTTTAAAATTTGCTCTGAATGGCAACAGCAGCGGTGGATTGTGGGAATTAAGACCAACATGTATGTTGTTCTTCTATTATGTGTGTATTTCTGTGCTGACAACACTGTGAATTTCGCCAATGTGGGATAAATAAAGGCATATCTTATCTTTTCTGCCATGCTAAAGTGACGTGATCCTGAAACAAAGCTAAAATAATTAGCACAGGTGATTGCAAGTGTTTAATTGTTAAAACAGTGTTACTTGTTTCTATGCTACCAATACTGAAGATGTTGTTTAAGAAAGAATGACTGCCTTCTAATGTCGCGTAAACTATAATAACGTTCAGCCATTGTCCCTCTATAATCACTTAAAGTAGTAAATTAGGGTGGGGAACAAGCATGCAATACATTTATCCAATGTTTCAATCAGCAGATAAATGTCACTGCTGTGCAAAAAAACACAAAACCTCCACCAAAAGGTATATACAGCTGGATTTAATCCTTTGACTCGACTAGAAATCAAGCGACATGAGGAACTTCAATTTACAGCAGCTACATCTACAAGTAACTCGAATGTATGTGAACACGGCGCACAGGTCTGACGAGACTCTGAGGTATTTTTGCACCAATGTGTTGATTAGGGTGAAATGGTTTCCTCTTCAGCCTGACCTCCAATCCACAGGAAGCTGTCACAGAGTGTCACAACGCCATCACAAAGCTGAGAGAAAATGTTTTACATAGAATACCCGCTTCTCTTCTCCAGCTCTTATCAGCTCATTTGTACCTCGGTACCGTCACAGGTGATGTGACAAGGAAGGGTTTTGTACCTAGAAGCAGGTTTAATCATGTAAGCTGGATGACTTTGCTGACTAAAATGCAGAACCTCCTCAAATCTGGATGATGCAAGGGTTTACTCAGCAAGATTACTCAGTTAAACCTGCTTCTTGGAACCGATCCCTAGACTCAAGCATATCTCTATAAGACCAAATGACAAAACAAATCTAACAGCAATTCAACAGTTAATAGATCAAATCACTATATCACACTTTTGACAACTACAATAGCAAAAAAGTCCGACACCAACTTTGTGTTTGACTGCACGGAGAGGCTGATATAAGTGATAATGGAGAGCAGAAACCAACAGAACAAAGGTGTAATAGGACGACACCAAACAGAGCAACTGCGATTTTTGTCAGCCGCTTGTCCTCGATGTAGACATCAACAGCCCCTGGGGGAGGGAGAGAATTAACTGCATCCTGCTGTTTCGGCGTGTCAGCATCAAAAACAAACTTATCTGAAAACAACGGTGTCGATTGGACCCAGTTTGAGACGAAAAACAACAAATTTATTCTCCTATTGTGGTCATGCGTTAAGCTGTTTGACTCACACGGGGGAGATACTCCTGTTTCTAATGCCAATCACATACATTACACACTCAAGTGATTATCCAGTGGCAGGCTGAGCAGGCAGACCAAACATACTTTCATTTGCTCTTTGAACTGGCAGCACCTGTTGCTACTGTTGTGCAGCCTTTGGGTTGTGTGCCTGCAGGCCCGAGGTAGCGACTTTAGAGCCTGGACGTGGACTGTTTACCTCAGTGATGGACATGTCTGGAAAAATCAAACTTTCCAAAGTAGCTCCTTGCCAACATAAACCAAACGTGAAGAATAAAAGAACTGCCTCTGTGAGAAAGTCATCATTAAGCCAGAAAGAAAAACTCTGTTGGACTCTGTCTCCATCTAGAATTACTGCCTTGTGGTTATTTGTCTCTGTCAGTCAGTTCAGTTGCAGTTTACGTCCACGTCTGTCCAGATTTATATGATATATGTAGTGAAGACTTTTAAGTAGCTAAACAAAATTAAAGTGCTTTTTTTTGGGGCAAAACTGGAAGATATCACATTGACAAGTATCATTTTAGTCAGAATTTTTCTGATGCTGTCTTCACGTAGAGAATATGGATGTTGCTGGAAAGAAGCTGTACATTTTAAAAAGGTAGAAGCCTCGCCTGCATCTTTAACATGGCAGCCCAGAAAACCTACACAGTATCTGACCAAGCAAAATATCTGAGTTTTCCTGAGTGTTGGCACTGCATTATGGCCAGAAAACTGATTCTGCAAATTACGTCACAGTGAAGCTAACCTTTGAGATAAAATGTCATGTTCGCTTCATTTTGATCCTATGAGGCATTTGCGTGAAATTCCATCATTATGGGCATATCAATTCTTGGGTTATGGCTAAAAATGTGTTGAGGCCACAAAGGCTGTGAACTTTGACCGCTGACAATCAAAATCTAATTGGTCCATCCTTCAGTCAAGGTAGACACCTATGTTAACTTTGAAAAAGTTCCTTCCAGGTCTTCCTGATCTATTGCGTTCACAAGAATGGGACGTACTTTCCGTCTTCTTTTGCTTACCTACGGTTACAAGAGTAGTTTTAACTGGACACAGTTTGACCCAATAATCTACACTAAATAGCCCAGAATGACAGAGTTAAGACATGTTTTTGCAAATCTATTAACTTGTCTGGCAAACACCTCATGATCTGGGTATCATTATAATGAAGCATGGTAGTGGCAGCATCATGTACTTCTCAGCTGCAGGGACAGAAAGATTGTTCATAAGTAAGAAAAGGACAAATGCAGCCAAATACAGAGAGCTCCTTGAAGAAAACCTGTCCCAGAGAAAATGTGATCTAGAACTGGAGCGATGATTCACCTTTCAGCAGTGAACCAAAGCATCCAAGAAAACAGTGTGGCTTAAGGACATTCCTCTGCCTGTCCCAGTGGCCCCACCAAAGCTCACACTTAAAACCCACAGAGCATCTGTGGACAGACCTGAAGATGGCAGCTCACAGATGCTTCCCATCCAATCTGATGGAGCTTGACAAGAACTGCCAGGAAGAATGAGAGAAACTGCCCAAATCCAGGTGTACAAAGCCTGCAGAGACTGCAGATTGATGGGAAAAATGCCAATTTCATCCAAGTAAAAAATGAAATCTCACACAAAGTAAAGTGTGCAAGAATGGGAGGAATCTGAATACTTCCTGACAAATGAGCATCTGTCCATTTGCGGGCTCGTTAAAAACTCGTGATGGAACTGCAATAGCATTTTATTTATTGGTTTGTTTCATCTTAGTAATTGATCAAATAAACCGCAACCAATAAAAGCTTCAGAACTTCAGCTCTGTCTCCGTGTGTTGGTATCAAGCCAAGCCGGACTTTTATAGGCCAGAGAGACAAAGTCAGCAAAGCACAGAAAATATGACAAGAACCCAGATGCAGTTGCACGGTGAGGAATAGCGGAGCCAAAGTTTTCACAGCAGGGTGGCCGCAAGAACTTTCAACATGTGTTCCGAATACACATCTTTTAACTCGATGGAAACCAGTCCCATCTGTGAACGAGCCCCCCACCCTTTGTTTGCCGCAGAAAATTTAAAAAGCAGAAGTGCTGAATGCTGCTATGCACTCGGGTTGTAAAACAGGAAGATATGTTTAGAGGTGACATTCATGAATACATACAAAACCGTTGTTAAGATGGGAACAAAGGCAAACTGAAGCAGATGGACAATATGGGCGATAGTCACTGAAGATTTGCTGAACAATTTACAGAATTAAACAGAAATACTGTTTGTCTGTGTCACTGAATGACTGCACCGAGGTTTCACAACTGCAAAAAAAAACACAACTCTGTTACGCACTCCATTTCTTTCGCAGGCTAGGAACCAAGCTTATCTATAGTTTGGGTCATTTACATATTCTTTTTTTTTTGTGGTGCTACAAAATGTTGCAAAGAAGGGTAATGTGCGACAGGATTACTTACTTTTTTAGTAATTTAGCATCCCTTTGTTTTCCATTAAATAAGAGCAAAAATTGGGGTGTTTAATCACACATTTCCACACATTTAATTATAATCATTGCCACCATTAAATAAACAGCATATTAGTAAGTAAACAAGGCTCACCGCTCTTCTTATTTCCTTTTATTAACTGACTCACCTCCAACCAGCACAGAGTACCGCTGAGTTTCCTGATGGTCCACGGTGACTCCACCTGCAGAAGAAAAGAGATCATCATAATTTAACATAAAACTATTGATCAAAATAAAATCTACTTGGACAAAAGCAGAGTTTATGGTAAAAAAAAAAAAAAAAGCAGACTACAAGGCATTTGAAATCAAGCGAGGGAAATGTTCTGGACTCCATCCATTGCCGAACATCCCAAGCGTGAATTTAAATGACAGATTTTGTTTTCATAGCTGAGCTTTAATTCAACATTCTGCTGTATCAAATATTTAACACGCGCTACAAAGTGTCTTTGACAGCGAAATCAGCCTTGTTCACCTCGCTTTTATGCAGCTACCTCAGAAGAGTGACACAAAGAGGTCTGGACTGAGCTCAGGGATCTGCTGGTAATCTCTTAAGGCTCTGTACGAAATGGAAGGGGGTCTGAGGGATGTAAGGATATAGGGCTTTGTCATCCAAGGCCTAAGGAGGAGTTGACTCTTCACACATATATACATACAGACACACACACACTCACGTTGTGCTCTCCTTCTGTGCAGCGCATTTCATAGGAGTAAGCCAGCAGGACGTCCACGAGGCCGAGCCATGCTTGGTAGCGGGACGTCTTGTCCAGCAGGTAGGAGCGGTTGGTGAATTTCCTCAGCTGCTCTTTCTCATCATCGGTGAATGATATGGCTGCATGGGAACAAAGATGTTATAGTCAAAAGAACCGAGACAGTCCGGCATTCAACATCTGTAAAAGTGATTTGGTGAAGAATCCAGCAGTGGGTGTGGGAAGCGGTCGCAGCGGTTAGGTTGAGGAGGAGTTGCATGCACTCCTTTGCACACGTAGGCCTCTGATGTGAAGCCGGTGTATGACTTTACAAACTGTCCACACCACCAACATGTAATTTCCGCGTGCTTTACAGCCACAAGTTAAAAAACACAATGCAATGATTTTCAAATACACACTGGAACCATCGCGTATCAAGATAACAAGGCACACGGTTTCTGTGCAGGGATAAACAGCTTAATAAAAGTAGGTTTAGTGACCTAAGTCTCTAAGATTATGTCCACGCTAAGCCGGATAAATATGAGATGAATGCCGTTTTGCTAACCTCATGGTTCAGTTTGAGACCTTTTGAAAAACAATCATATGTGCAGTCGGGTTAAACGGGGACAGATTTGTGACCAATCTCCTCCCGTTCCTGAAAAAAATAAATCAAGATCTTTAGTGTTGCTTGTGATACCGGGTGATGAAACAGGTCTCTAAATCTACACACATCTGTCAAAGATATAGTATAACCCTGAAATATCACTAGTACAGCTATACAACCATACCACCCCTTCAGCCACTGGCATCCTCATTACTTTTAAAAGCTAAAAGACTTAATGTAATCAGATTATAGACTGATGATACTGGATCAGAGGTCAAATTCTGGGGTAAAATTAAACCAAACATTGATCGGCCTACAGCATTTTTTCCCCCCAGTATAACCAATAATCAAGATCTTTATATCCGATACATTTCTTTAAATTATGACATACAAAAGTTGATTTTGCCGTTTGATGCTTTGGTATATCCGTACTTGCGTCTTGTGTTACACATCAGCTGACATATAGAGATTTATTCATAATAAAGGGGCTTTCAGGCAGCGCCGCTCAAATTAGCTTTGACAAATAGGCACATGGCATCCAAAGCGAGGCATCGAGCCAGGCACGGAAGGCAAACGAGGGGGGAAAGGCTGATGTTGAGTGTGTCTGAAATCCCTGAATTACATGGTGCAAGTTTGTAAAGAGGCCTCGGGATAAAAACCTTATCTTGAAAACAGGTTTCCATCTAAGAAGGCACGTCAGGTGTGTTTTAACTGTATGGTGGTAGAAAATATGTGTAAAAATAGCTTAGGTTTGTTATGTGCTCTATCGACATAATAAAGTTAACAGAAGTAGTGAGGCGAAAAGGTATAATTTTTAGACATAATGTTATACTGACATAGTCCTCCTAGAAATTAACAAATGTTCGCCTGTTTTGCTCCGTCCTCAGCGACTCCCCTGAGCAGTGTGCTGAACCCAGCAGGAAGCGCAGCACATGTTGTGTTGTATTTGAACGCTCCATATGCCAGTCTAGCTCTAAATCAAACAGTCATACAAGGGGGAGATGAAAACCAAAAATATCACAGTGCGGTGCAACACTCAGTAAGTGCACATTAAGTACAGATAATAGCCTAAACAGCAACAATGCCCAGGAATTCTCCAACTGCTAATATCACAGAGTCAGAATAAAGAAAACAGCATTAATTAATTCTGTTTTTTTGTCTTGTGTCAGAGCAGCGTACACCATTAATTGTTAAAACTAATGAGCAGTCATTCTTTTTTCATTGGCTAATGAAAGCTTTTTGTAAACACTGACACTTGGATTTGCTGTAAAATAAGTCATTTGCGTCAGAAATTTGAAGACAAAGCAAACAGCAGGTTACTCCAGCTATAAACAACACAAAATAATGACTTCATTTAAAGGTGCTGGGCTTCCGTCTGTCACTATGTGATAATTGGCCCCACAAAATCTCAAGTATTAATCGCAGAAAACAGCTGCACCACTCCCAGGCTTCGCTGGAGGAAATAAATTAGATCACGCTATGTGTGTTGGACACATCCAACAAATAAGTGGTGCAATCTTTAACAGTAAAAAGGTAGTAATGTTATCGAATCCCATCTCAACAGACTTGAGCCAAACTGGTTTTATATCAAATAATCTTCATACCTGATCTACATGATGGCGCAACTGTGGTCCAGCTACTGGAAACAGCTGCTCTGCTCAGACTTGTCCACAAATACTGTTGCGCCAACTTTTTCAGTTCAGAAAATCTGTCAGTATTTCGTGCCACTGCTGAAATGTGTTTATCCTCAAAGCAGGGGGAGTGTCACTGATACACTTCGTCGGTTTTGCTTTAATGTCGGTGAAAGCATGTAATCAGAGTCCTTCTGCTCAGACGGCTAGCTACGCCGTACAGATGGTGTATTAGAGGAATTTTCACAACTTTGTGCTGTAGTGTTGATCAGCGCGTCTGCCACAGTTAGCAGAGTCACGCAAGCTTTTGTTTTTTATAATTTGTGCTGCGATCAAAGCACCTAGTGGCTCGACTGTGTACTGCAGGAAACCTACAACTTGTTTTCCGATAGTTACGCTCCATCCTCTGTGTTATTAGTTAATATATTTTTAACCTGATAAACAAAATGATCAACAACTAACCATGAAAGTCTATATTTTGGATTTGTTAACAGAATATGCTGAAAAACTAGGATATGGACAATTTTGTGCGTTTTTCTTTCAAATCAAATACAGGATTTTTTTTCCTCTGCAGTCATAAAAACTAATGAATACGACAGAAAAACATCAGAATAAATGTTAGAATAAACATATTTTGTGATTAATTACGTGCCGTCTTGTGTTTATGTCATTTGCTTTTTTGCAGTTTCCGTACCATTAACCCTCGCGTGGGGCTAAAGCACAGAGAATCCCAAAGAGTAGGAGTGCAAATGTTTCAGCGTGGATGGCGATGAAAAACACGCTGAATGAACGTCGCTTTCACGTGTAAACAGCTTTTTGATTCTAATAAACCGATAAACTGCTCTTCTGGTTCAGCTGATGATAAAGTCCCCCTTTTGAGGAGGAGGTGATGAGCATAAACAAAATAGGACATATAGTGCCACATTAAACGAGCAAAATTAGTGATGCCAATACCATTTAGGTGTTTGATGGCTGAACAGCTCCGCATTAAGAAAATTTAGAGCTCTGTTATAGGGAAATATCTGAAAAGCTCTGCTTCCGCGCTCTCTGCAAATTCGCTAACTGTTGCCTTTTGAAAGAGACATCTGCTTAATGGGGATCTGTGGCAAGCCTAATGGGGCGACACAAACAGACTTCAATCCTATTTAAGCAATCTGCATCGTTCAGTATTGAAAGGCACGCCGAACGTCTGCAGCAGTGTGCTGTAACTCAACAGTTTTTTTTTCCCTCCCAGCAGTCTATACAACAGCTGAAAGCAATTCCTCTCTCTGCATGAGAAAAGGAGAGTCCCTGCTCTGAGCCCCTGATGTGCAAGGTGTGTGTTGGCTGGAGCAAACACACACACACACACACACACACACAAATGCAGGAACATTCAATACACACACACACACACGCGCGCAATGCTTCAGAATGATCTCTCTGGCTGCAGTGGGAACTTGGCTGTGCTGCGAAGGAGATTCCTGCTGCATTACGTCAGGTTTTTAGCTCCCTGCAGACGCTACCTGGGTCCCTCGTCGGTGCAGCTGCGGAGGGAGCCGAGCAGACACAAAGCCCGGCATGCACGTGCGCCCACATCTGTGCACGTTGTCCTCGGAACACACACATCGAGAAAAGCCACGGAGAGAGAAAAAAACAAAACACCGAATTGGCACACTAACTCGCAGAGTCACGAGCATTGAATGTCAACTGCTTTTTCAAACACACACATAAAACATGCACATGATGCATAGGCACTTGAGGGAAAAAATTATGTATATAAATACTGGGATAGTGCAAATGGGGTTATTGATTTCAGTGGATGCAAATGCTGTCAGAAGAAACATGTTGCACCAACACTTCTGCAGCTAAAACCTATGTTTCCATCATCTGAATCCAAAAATCTGAGTAGAAACAGAGCACACACACACACACTCTCTCTCCGAAGATGAACACAGCACAGCAGCATTATGATCCTGATGTATTTTCTATTAACTGTGCAGACCTGATAGATTTACCCGCCACCACGTTCATTCATCTCCACTACGGAGCCAGTCAATTCTAGAGGGCATTAGCACGCAGCGTATGAGGGCTTCTGCTGATTGCAAATTAATTTCTGACCTAATTCCTCCAGTTGGAACGGCAGCCTGGCTCGTCACCGCACTCTACAGGTCCAGATGGCCTGATGGCATGGAGCAAATATGCTTCGTCAAAATACTGCTGAGGGGTTGGAATACGCTCCCCCGAATCTCTCAAACGCTAGAGGTCAAAGTATGACCTTGCATGACAAATACGGTTAATTTTGCGCGCGCGCACACACACTGCGATCGTGCCAAGTATCAAATCGAAGGGGTATTTAATGAACAGTGAAACTCTAAACTCGGTTAGAGCGGGCAGCCTAAATCAACAGAGAGCTATCTAAGTTGGTCAAAGGTCAGATTTCCAAACTCAGCCATAACAAAGTGCGGCAGGTAGACAGAGGCCGAGCTGTCAGGACCGTTTAGGCTGGACCAGTGCGTTAATACAGGCCTCCAGTGGACAGCTGTGGCCTGTCAGTGTGCTGGCCCTGACACTGGAGAGCACAAAGGGGCCGGTTTCTACTTCATTAGCACTTGTGTCCACATCCATCTGTCAGGTGACATATATATCAGACTTAGCAGTAGTGAAGGAGGGGGTGGGGTCTTCAAAAACACACACACAGAAGACTTGTAGTTCTCCATTGGAAATACACGACAAAATCATGAGCGCGCTTTCGAGATCTGACGGCAAAGCTGCTTAAATCTCCTGACCGACACCATTCTTCACACTCAGCTGAGGCTAATGCTATTCGAGCTGTCAATCAAGCCATTAGGTTTAATTTGGCCCATTTATCTACGCCTGGGCTCCCGACTGAGCCACTCTGTCTTAGAATGCAGAATGAGCGGAGGGAGCCGGCGGGGCTACGGGGAGCCGTAATGTTCTTCGGAGGCTAAACTCAGACTGCAGCTAATGGCCTTTGCATCGCTGACTGATGGCTGCTCGTCAGCGATCGGGCCCCGGCGCTGGTAAAAACACGACCGGCAGCCGCACTCTCTCCTGCGATAATGCTATCTGTTCAATCTAAATCCTCTTCTAAGCGTGCAGCATCCGTGCGCTACACATAAGCTGTAGCTGTGAGCCACGCGCCTGCTTAAAACAGTGGAAGTGCTGGAATTAGCGAGCTGTTAGGAGAGCAGGGGTGGCACAATTAAATAGTCTTTCCCGGTGCCAGGGTTCGCGAGCTATCACTCCTGTTGAAATGAAGCTGGAAAGGCTGCAGCTGCTGATTTAAAACAGATGGAAAGTGAACCTGAATTTTAAAAATATATATATAAAGATAATGAGACAGGTTAAAATAGTGGCTTTTAAAAGAAAAAAAGTCACACTAATTCAGCAGTCTCAGCACTCAAAATGTTTAAATTGGTCAACAGGCAGCAGAGGGAGGCAGTGATTAGGGAAGGTCCAAGGTCAATCTCTGGTAATGGTGAGTGTCTTTCCTGTCGAGGCGCCTCGAGGCACTTTAGCAGGGAGTGCAGCTCTGTAGCCGACTAGCCGAGGTCTGTCCTTCCTTTAGAAGGGGGCAGTGAAAAGACTCATGTGTCCTTTGGGGATTCATTTATTGTCAGAGAACAATGTCAGTGTCTGGCAGGCACAAAGCTCAGCTATCAGATTCCTGGTTGCAATACAATATTTCAATTCACTGTAGTTTTTGGCAAGGATTTGAAATAGTACTACTGGGAACAGTAAAATAGTCAGTAAGAGCAGATTAATTTGGTCCAACGGTAAACAATGCATGATTGCCCTCCCAATTTTTTGCAACTTCATGCCACCTTCTGGTAGCCTTCAGTCACTACTTTCTGGACACTTTTAGCACCTCTCCACATCCACATTTATAAGTCCTCGTTTGTATGTGTAAGATTGGATTGTCTTTTTTAGCATAAGGGTACAAAGTGAGGATGATAAACCATAAAACACTATAGTAACGTAGGTGTAATAATTAAAACTGATTGTGGGGGGCAGACAGGAAAATAAACATCAACCTGTCACTTTAAAAATACAGTTACAAGTAAGTTAGAGGGATAACTCACTACCATCAACACAAAAATGCAAAAGATAACAAGAAAATAAACATTCATTAAATCAGTTTCATCAATAGGCAATCCAAGTAATATTCTAGTGAGATTGTGTGTTAATTAAACACTTTTTTTAGTGCATAAATCAGCCCTGATGGTAAAATCAAATGCTCCTTAAATAAAATTTTCAGCTAAATGTGTTAGATTGTGTGTATCTGGGGGAATATATTCCTAGGAGGCAAACAGTTTGTGTGTCCTTCAGAATGAATGCAGCTCAGTTGGGAGGGTTGTTTGTAGGTTTACAGTGCATACACTCACTAGTCCATACACTACGCCATGGGCGCCCAATGGTGGTCCTGGAGAGCCCCTATCCAGCATGTTTTAGATGTTTCCCTCTTCCAACACACCTGATTCACATGATCAGGATCGTTATCAGGCTTCTGCAGAGCTTGATGATGAGCTGATCATTTGAATCAGGTGTGTTGGAAAAGGGAAAACATGCTGGATAGGGGCTCTCGAGGACCAGGATTAGGCACCCCTGCACTACGCCATTCTGTTGAAGTCTTCTAAAGCAATGATAGGAAGTAACTGAATTTACTCAAATATTACAGTTAGTGTCTCAGTTCAATACTACTCCACTACATCTAGGAGATAAACGCTGCACTTTTTAATTTCAATTTATTAGACAGCTACAGTCATGTCTACAAATGATATGCGCATAAAATACATGCGTAAAATGTATTTCAGCGGCTTCCTGACCTTCCTGACAAACTAAACAAGTGGCCACTTAGGGCTGCTTGTCACAATCATGTAGGAATTGTAACTACTCTAAAAGGTCAGATTTTCTGACCTTGACACTGACTATAAATAAGGAAAAAATTAATCTGTGTCCAAACTTTTGTCATCATCTTATGACCTCCTAGATTTGTTTTGTGACTCCTTTGAGGGGGTTCAACCTCTTATCTTAGCTGGAAACCAGTAAATAAACTATCCAGCCCTGTGTGAGGTACTCTATTAAAGCTGCATGTCGACCATCTACAACAGTAAAATGATTTTTACAAGGTCCAACGTCAGTGACAACAGCTTAGCAACATAAATGACACTGTCAGCCAAGTACTTCTCTTTGATACTTCAAGTACATTTTGCCAATAATGCTTCTGCTCTTTTACTCATGTGAGAATTTAAATGAAGGTCTACTAATTGCAATGCTGTTATTTTGCACTATGTTGTTGCATTGGTTGCTTTTAATTAAGTAAATGATATTAACACTTTGTCACCCTATTTTCCTAAGAGAGCATCTTTATCTTACTAGATTTTTCTGCTTTTTTTTTTTTTTTTTTTAGCTGTGGAGCTTTTGAGTGCGTTTCAAGCGCCATATTTCAGATTTAATTTCCAACACGTCACATTTTTGCAGATAATGAGATGTCTGACATGAACTCACCAGATTCTTCCTCCTGCTCTGTAGAAGGGCTCAGCTTTGCCCACCACGGCCTAAACTTCAACAGCGCCTTTATCTCATCATCCTCAAACAAATCAGCCCTGCAATGACACATGAGATGTTAGCAGACAAAAATAACACAGGAAAAAAAATTCTCTGTCTTTGTCAGAGGGGTTTTTTTTTTTTTTTGCTTTGTTAAACTCACAGATAATGGTCGGGAGAGAAGGCAGATGTCTCTGCTTCCAGCCGAGCCTGCCTCCTCTCTGCTGCTGATGTTCCTTCTGGGTTCTTGACGTCGATCACGTCAGTGAGTTCTTCCTGCAATGACATTTACAGCATGTAAAACCTGGTGAAGTCATTTCAACTATATTTTCATGATGATAAAAAAAAAAAAGATCTGCAAAGAGCATTTATCAATAAATCTCACCTGCAATCGGGCAAATACTCCAGACCTCTGATTTCCAAAGCCATATTTCTGCAGGGCACTCAGCTCCTCCTCAGATCTCTCTACGTAAACCTCCTGCTCAACCTGCCAGTCAAATTCCTCTTCATCTTCCTCGTCGTTTTCTGCTGCACCTTCGCCGCATTCTTTTGAAATGTTGAGGAGCCACAGTTGAATCCCGGTTAATATCTCATCCATTCTGGGTTATCCTTCCCACCCATGTGCTCAGAGTGAATACCGACTTCACAAACGAGTTAAACGAACGGATAAAAATGACGTACCTGCGCTAACGTCTTCCACCAGTGGTTTTGCTGAACGGGAGCCTTTGGGGGCGAGGAGACTTGTCAGCATCTGAAGCCCTTCAAAGTGCTCACCAGCTGTCTCCTTAGGGACCTGAAGAGTGAACAGACCTACGGCAACACAGGAAATGAAGGGGATGATTTTTAACCACTACAGATCTTCAGTTAAATAAAAGCAGGCAAACTAGTTTTTTGCAGGGTTTACTGAGTTAAACCGAAGTCGTGATTAATACTACAGAGAAAGTAATTCAATACCAGCTTTTAATGCAGAACATGCAAATATAATGGAGAACCAGTAGGCCAGTATAGCCTTAAGCTATCTTTTTCCCAGCTCTTCCCAGTAGTATACATCCATCCATCCATTATCTATACATCGCTTAATCCTCACTAGGGGCTGAAGCCTATCCCAGCTGACGAGTAGTATACAGGAATTCTTAATAATATAATTATTTAAATGAATGCAGTCTAAACACAGATAAACAATATGGAATGGATGGAAGTATTTAACAATTAAAATGATTATCACATTTAGGTTTGTGCTACAAATGACATTTACACATTAGATGATGAGCTTCCTAGGAGACAGCGAGAGCACAATCCACCGTTACAATAGTTTAACCTTTACGTCACAACATCTACAGCCTGCAATCAGATGCAAAAATATGTCACAACATTACTGCCTACCACAGGCAAGATAAATATTGAAAAAGTTAGAAGATTAAACACATTCAAAGGCCTTAACTCAGGTTAAACAAATTTTTGCTTTATAGGACTTAACACAACCTGCAGTGCACCCTGTAGAGAGCATTTGCTCTGCACTGAAATCAATTCTAGGTCTTCATTTTCCATCAAAATAAATTCCTTCCTATCTTAAAATGGCCTAAATGTAACTCTGCACCTTTGCCTCCTCAACTATGCACTGATGTATTAACATGCAAATGAGTTCCTGCCTGCACACCTGCTCATCTGCTCAAACACAGCACCCAGCGCTACACAATGGCAAGAGGTAACATTTGAGTAGTTCAGCCAAACACATTTCAACCAGAAACCAGCTCTAAAGAACATTAATTACACGTAAGTCTCCATCCTGCAAGTTGATTGGTTCTTTAAGTTTGTGATGTATGAAACCCTGGCTGTCTGAAGCTGTGTTTTGGGGATGATAGATAAATATTAAGTCAACAAGCTCGTCTTAGATATCATGTTAGCTCCAGATGATAATTTAGATGCAATATTTACACATGAGATAATGTCAGAGAAGATGGAGATAAAGTGCTGCCTAACAACATGTTTGAAAAAGACATTAAACACCTGACAACATATCACAGACTTGAAAACAGGCTGCTTATTACAGTCGCAGATTTGAATTAAGTATCTTATTTACACCAAACCATCGCAGATCAATCAGGCCATCTGTGCAACGCTTCAAACTTAAGGAGCTGCTTTACAAACTGCTATTAAAACGAAACAGGCAATACATGATTGATGACTTGAACGATTTGGCCACACCACAGAGATAATCTGATGGTTGCCTAAAGACCTCGTAAAATTTCAATGCACCCAAGTGTTACAGCCTAGAAGTGCTTTACAATAGAAGCTGACTAATTGCTTGAGATGCAGGCTTTGCAGAAAGGAGAGCCGGCAGAAGAGGGATCTTAATGATTGCTCATTATAAGTCTAAACAAGGACACTCATTAGCTGAGCTTTATTAGCAGATGTTACGGGCTTATTTAGACACAGCGTGTTAACTGGGGCCACGCTGATAGACAAGCAACGAGGTGTCAGAGTCCATAAGGCAGACGTCTCCGTAAAGACAACTTCATTACAACTGATTGCGTGCGGCGCAAAGTCACCGATGCATCGCGGCGACAGAAAGCAGCGCGCCCTCGAGAACGTCACGGCGGCAGTCACTGTGATTTGTTCGTTATAAAGTTGAAGAAAATCCCACAGAAGCAGCCACTGTCCCTGCGAAGAGAGCTGCCTGCAGGCTGTAATCGTTATGACATTACAGATGGTTCCAGTGGCCTTTTAAATGGGATGAAATAACATGATCAGTTAGGCTAATTTACCATGGCTGATAGACTGAAGCACAGACTAAAGACGCCCCAAGGATCAATCACTGACTGCTACTAGAAAGCATGTCTCCAGATCTTGTAGACTGCGACTGGTCAACAATGTCACGCAGACACACAGAGACATGCTTTCACCAGCCAACGCAATTAGGCTTTCCTCCGCAACAGTGCAAACCAGCCTTTACTGTCATTTGCACAAGTATTCAAAAGCTTTGAAAACAGATACTCGTACCCATCTTCCTTCTAAAACAGCACACCGCATGTAAGTCACACACCTGCACTCCACTTTATGTTTTCCACGTCCTCCAAGACCTCACACAAAACTTATTATTGTCACAATTTGAGCTTTGATTATTTCAGCCTGCACCGGGGCGGCTCTCACGCAAAAAGACTTGTGATTTTCCATTGCAAAGACAGACTAATGGACCTTAAACCTTTTTGATGGTGACTGAATAAAAGACTAGAAATGCAGTCAAGTGACACCAGTGTGGGAGTAATGGTTAACACAGATAGCATAAACAGTACTGTGCTAAAGTTCTAAGCACTTTAAATGTTTAAGTTCCTGTTATTCAGGTGATATAATTCAGGAGGCCCCAAAGTCATTCTGCAGCCTGACAATGAGCCCAAACATACAGCCACAATCATAAAGAACTATCTTCAGTAAGAAGAACAGGATGTGCACAGAGACAGCATTAAAGTTGCAGTTGCTCTGAATTATACCATTTTCTAATCTGCTTGAAGGACACATTGAATACATGTGCATTAGATCGATGTTTATGTGGTGCCTCTCGTGGCTTTGGCTGCACACAGACATCTGCAGAGACATCCACACAAACTTGGGTAAATTTACGTCATTCAGATCCTGGCTGACCCTTGTGTGCTTCCAAATGCATCCAGTATAACGCTAACCTGAGACCAAAGACACTGAGAGCCTAAATCCACAGAAGAACTGTGACAGGTTCTTTAACCCTCTCCCCAACAACTGGACTGGTGCTAGTGGCGGCTCGAAGGGGGTTCAGCTGTGATCCTTCCAAGAACTGGTTTGCTTTTTCACAGGCTCGAAAGCCACCATAGATACATTATTGAATCTCCTAGTTTATTCCAGACTCCTGTCGAGGACCACAGCACAAGGAGACAGTTTGTCTCTCCCATGAAGCGCTGCTGGAAAGCTGATGAGGTAATTATTTGTCTCATATTCCCTGCCGTTCAATGTTATAATATCTCCAGTCTGCATTTATAAATGCGGCTGCAACCAGCACTCAGCGTTTCTGCTTTATGCACCAGTGTTTGCAATGGCACCGTGTAAAATGAGCCTATTTGGATTGAGCCAACTATCACTTATTGTTTAAAAATGGTTGCCACAAAGTTTTGGCTGGTGTCGTTGGATACAGTAAATCTCATGCACCCAACTTCTGACATAAACAGTTCTTAATTCAGAACCAGCCAAGTGTTGGTGTTGAATCAGCTCTTATACTGCTAGAAAACACCAACCTGCCAAGTGGCTTGAAAAACCATCAGCATACGTAAGCAGGAGTTATTCTGCTGACTTCATATTGGACAAAGTCAAGTGGTAAATAAAAACTATTTATGCACCTTTTTTCCAAGCACGCTCACTTTACTTGAAGCAGAGCTTTTTCACGGTACTGTTACCACACCGTCACGAGTTCAATTACAGTCAGGGACCTTTGTTGCGTGTCCAAACCTCTCCTCCTCCTTATATGTCGTGTCTGTACACTCACTGTGAATCTATGCAATAAAAAGCGAAATGCCAAAAACGTTGCGCTGCTTTTTTTTTTTTTTTTTTTACAACTCCTGTTCAGCATATAAATTACTGGAAGCTCTGGCGGGTTCTATAGTTCAGCATTACTGTGTGTGAATTATAGCTCAATATGTGGAGACAACATTTGTACTACTTGGGGGACAAAAAAAATATTGAACAACAGTTTTTCCCCCTGTTGAAAGAAAGGTCAGCAAAGTCTGATAAACAATGGGGGGGAAAAAAAACTACAGTTGTAACAATTTAGAGATACATCCTGGAAAAAAAATGTTTTTATGTTATTATGTTGACAGAGTGTAAGATATCCGAGCCTCAATAGAATTCCTAATCTTTTTTTCTCACAGCTGACTGAGTGCTGATAATTCATTCTTTACAGAGTGAAAGAAATCTATTTTTAAGACAGCTAAAGCAGGATATTTACAACGCCCAACGGAACTGGTTACTGACCAAATCGTATTTTGTTACATAGGGTGTAAAAAAGCTTGGACTGCACAGGGATTCGTTTGTGTGGGAGAAATCAACTTAGCTCAAATTGTGCTCATGACATAGAGGCTGCAAGTCTGCCAAAATCAGGCTCCATTTAATGCAGCAGCTGTCCGTATATTTACTGAAATGCCTCATCAAGCATTTTGTCAAGTAATTGTATAGCAGGAGCAGGGGTTAAACTGGGATTTGTGAGAAGTAGACGCTCTTGTCCTTCTTACAGATCATGCTGCGGACAATAACGACTAGGGTTGGAACAACTAATGGATGGATAGTCAATGACGAATTTAGAAAGAAAATACCCGGAACTGACTTTATTCAAGAAACAAAACCACAAGGAGCAAATACAGCTTTGACAAAGGGAACCACACATAAGTAATGATCGTGTACTACTAAGTATCATGCAAGCTATTTTTTGAAAGCCCTCTGTGAGTGTTTGACTGTGTTGGCTCCTGCCTGATCTCTGTCCTGGTGCAACAATCTCTGCAAGCTGCATGTGTTTTTGGTAGCCACGCAGGAAGTGCTGCCAGCAGCAGAAAATGAAGGAACTGAAGGTGGATGGGTGGCAAAACATTCTCTTTGCAAGTTGAGCAATTGTTTTGCTTCCACAGGTTACTTTGGTCAATGATTTACACTTATGCTGCAGGAATATCAGACTCTCTGACTCATCCGTCTAGAAGAAAATTTGTCAAATAGCTAATAATAGTCGACTGTAACGACTAACACGAGTAGAAGTACTGCTAGTGCATGTGTTGTCATCGTGTAATAATGCAACCTACCTTTATCTATGTCAAATTTGGCCTTCTCCCTCCCATCCTCGACTATTCTTCCAGGAAGAGTTAATCTGAAAACAAAGAGATTAACTTCATATGAAGGCAAATTTAAACCCATGGAGTTTGCAGTGTCAGCTCACCTCCTTTCATCCAAGAAACACTTAACAGACAAACAGTTACAGAAGTATGTGCATGGATGAACTCACCTCAGAAAGTAGGGCTTTGCATAGAACTTGAAATCCGTTCCATCAATGCAAAGGTCAAACTCTGACGTCCTGGTGTAGGGCACGCGGACGTTGAGGATCAGATACTCAGGATCTTGGCTCAGGTCGAACGCAGGAGTTATCATTTTGAATTATGATGTAATGCAGACCTGTAGCATCAATGACAGGAAGAATTTGAAGCTCCAGGCAGCACACTGGATTGGATTGCATCCCACAGCAGCCTGCCAGGTTCTAATGAATCACGGGCCAGCTGACTACAGCACGCCACCTGGTGGACGACTGTGTTGCATGTTCACAGGCTCAGAAGTCCACATGTGTCACACTGACAGCAAACACTGTAAACATAGCTTGGGTCAAACATATCAGCACGTTTCGTACAGCAGCGAGTTAGAATATGAGTTTTACCTAGTCATGATTTTAACTCGTTAAATTTTCGTACCAAACTCCATTGGAAAATATGCACATTTTAAAAAGAAAGGTCATGTCTGATGTCAAATGTGACTCTTTCAAAATGTAGCTTCGGATGTATTCCAAATTATGATGTACTATAATAACTTCGGCGCAAACCTCACCCCCAAAAGTGCAACTACTTTCTTTATGGCAGTCCTATGTAGCGATGTCAGCGAAGAACCGTAAGTTGAAGTATTAATGCACTTAAAACTCCTCAAGATCTAAAAGTTGCATATAAAGTCGTGTTAACTAACCTTCAGGCAGGCCGAAAGTAACCACAGACCCCCACAATCATAAAGAATAAGTGTCATTATATGAGGTGAAGGCATTTGTAGGCAACCGAGACGCCACACTGACTTAACAGATTTTTAAATGAAGTTTGGTTCGCGGTTAGCTCGCTACAAGCTAACACATGATCACTCTCCTCGTGTGTTTCGGGCTAACAGCACAGCAGCGGCAACCAGCTGACAGCCGCAAGCCAACACTGGTATTATCACTATTCAGGCAGTCAAGGTAAACTGCTGGAGCCATTTTAGTTAAAGTCACTCAATAAAAGGTAGTAAACATAAACACACACTCACCAAAACACTGAGAGTTATCCCAACAGGCTGCCCTGGATGCTATGTGATGTAGCGTCCATGTTTTACCGTAATACAAACAAGAAAGCCGCAATTTAAATGTACTGTATAAAAACCATATTAACAATAAAAAAAAAAAAACAGATCTGCTGTCATTTGTAGCTGTTGCTGTAAGAAATATGCTTTAAAAAATTCCTCAGTATTTTATATAATGCAATATACAATTGTTTACATGCTGAAAAATGAGCAGGAATAATTTTGATGGACAGAGGTCATTATTTTATAAACCAGTTAGACTATGTGAGCAGTAATCATTACTTTTGTTTATTTGGACCAATACGAAATCCTTTCCATTGGTAGTGATCAGGGGGGAAATCCACAGTCTATGCAAAAACGTATAAAAACTAACAGGTTAGATCAATTAAATGAGCATCCAACAACGTTAGAGCTGTTATAGTGCTTCTTGACAATCTATTTCGAGGAGCTCAGCAGGGAAACACTGTGTTGTGAAATGCAAAGAGGATATTTTGTGCTTAAAAGACTTGTAATATAGTTTTTCATGCAATTGGAACTCCAGATTTTGTTCCCCAGTGCTCCAAAGCACCGTTCACAAACACATATCTTTAGTTAAGCAAGAATTCAAAAGTCATTGGACCCAAAAACAGAGCCTCTGTGTTTAGTAGCTGTTATTAAATGCTAACTAATAAGTTGTCTGAAAAACCACTGGAGACACAGGCATTATGACAGATTCATGTGATTTTTATTTATTTTTATTTTGCTTTTAAATGTTTAACAATGGATACTGACATGTATAATAATAATAATAATAATAATAATAATAATAATAATACAACTGAAAAGTAATATTGTGAATTGGGCTTTTTTACGTAAAGTTTAAAAAAAATCTTGTACAACTAGTTTTTCAGTATCTACTTGCAAGAACCTAATATTTGATCATATCAAGTGTAATGTGAGTTTATACAAGTAGCTCTACATAAAAATCAACTGTTAAATCAATATGTCCACCTTTAAAATGAATGAATTTACCACTGAAATGTTGTCAAACCACCATTACTAATTATTATCATTAGTTTTAAAGTACCTTAAAATAATAAGGTTGCGTATTTCCATCCATCCATTTTCTATACACCGCTTAATCCTCATTAGGGTCGCGGGGGGGCTGGAGTCTATCCCAGCCGACTTAGGGCGAAGGCAGGGGACACCCTGGACAGGTCACCAATCCATCACAGGGCCCTTGCGTATTTAATCATCCTTATTATTTTTTTATTTTTTAAATTCTGTATATTTGCAAGATGCAAATATTTTTTTTTTTTTTATTTTTTAAATTCTGTATATTTGCAAGATGCTTATCCATAATGACTGACATTAAATGTTGCTTGACACAGTACTTTTTTTTGTGTTAATGAGGAGAAACAGGTAGTCATGGAAGTCAATTCTAGTCATTAATAATATGACAGTTGTTGGATTTTGATGATTGCATTTCTTTTTAAGCTTGCTGTGATTCAATCAATCAATTAAAAACATCCTGTGAACTTTTAAATGATATCACATACTTTAAATTATAACTTAAATGTGACTTCAGATAAATTTTATGTATATTTAATGGATGCCAACTTTTTAGGAATACACAATGACGTGTGTTTTTATTGTATTTCTGCATTTTTACAAAGATGTTTGATAACAAGCTCTTAAAGGACAGTGACAGACACATAAAGATAAATACTGTAAACACACACTGTATACATGTAAACACTGCTATTTGTTGCTTGCTCTTATTTTATTGTTCTACTTTATTCTTTTGTTTCAGAGAGCTAAGTTTCACCGGAGTCAAATTCCTCGTTTACAAACTTGGCCAGTAAAGTCGATTCTAATTCTAAAGGAGCCACAACCTTCTCTATGGTCTGACATGCGCTCATATTAGCACCATTGCGGTAGAGCTGCGGAAGCCACGCCTCCGCTGAATAATCCTCCATGGACGATGAGAAGCAGCTCTCCGCTCTCCATCATCATCTGCAGAAAAATGCGAGCGGGGAGCGGTAAGAAAATGCCAACTCGGACCGCTCTCCCTCCGCCGCAGACATGAGCGCAGCGCCGACCGCCTCCTACAGCCGCAACAAGTCGCTCTCACCATGCGGATCCACTGCAAAGTAGTTGTGATCGCCGTGTGTTTCGGAGTTTTCCTACTTTTGTACTTTTTGGGGGGCAACGCCGCGGACGATCCGCTGCTCAAAGAAGTTGGAGAGGAGCCGCAGCGGCAGCAGCAGCAGCAGCAGGAGAGGAAGAAGAAGAAGGAGGAGAGCAACTCTTCTCCTTCGCCCCCCGAGCTCGGACGCGATGTTGTTGCAAAGTTTGCGAGGAAATCCTCCGCGGGAGTCGGCGTGCGTCCGGAGGAGCCTCTCCGGCCGCGAAGAGAGTGGAGAGCGATGAACAGAGGGGCCAGCGTGAATGCAAAGAGGTGAGTTTGTTTCTCTATCTGCTGCTTCCTTTTTTTTGTCCACTCTTTCCTCCAAAAACACACCTCTGATCTTTTAATATGCTCATCTGCGGCGCTGTTGGGAAGTTAAAGAGGGTTTTAATCATCCAACTGGCCACATTGCGCTCAAGGACGCAGGCTCCACAATAGCCTGATCTGTCAGGGGGACACTCCAACATGCATCTGCATGTCTGCGTTTGATTTCTTTTCATTATTTCCTGTTGCACTCAGATATCCGGCGTGACTAATGTGATTAGGTGGAAATGGTGGCAGCATTTTCAGGGAGGAGATCAAAAAAAAAAAAAAAACACACCAGCGAGAGCAGGATGATGAATCATCACCTGACCTCTACATCTTCATCGTTTGACCCCATTTCATCGAATGCCGGCCTCTCAGCCCCTAGAGGGGTAAAGGTCACCTTGAGAGACATACATTGCATTTGATAAGGGATGCAGATGTGCTTTCACTCAAGCAGCAGTGAGATATAACAAACCGGAGGCTCATCCTGTTGAGGTGTCTCCTGTCAAAAGTCTGTCAAAACAATCTAGGTGGGCGTGAAAAGCTTATCAGGTGTGAGTTTTCTTTTTTTTTTTCCTCTCTCTCTCTCCTTTCTGCAGATGATTTAAGTCACCATCTTGTCATTGTCTCTCAGATTCAAACAGGGAGGATTTGTCAGCTGCTGTTCAAGGATGGAAGGATTTTTTTTTTCTAATTCTGGCCACATCTCCTCCTGGCAGAACGTTGGACGTGGAGATGCCTATATATATATATATATATGCCGCTCCAAAGCCAAGTCTGGAAGGTTTTGGTGGGGAGGGGAGGGATGACGCTGTACGGTAGATAAAAGCCATCAAGGCGTTCCATGCTGAGAAAAGGACCTTTTACGTCCTCGCAGAAATCGCACTCCTCCATGTGTGCTCGCCGCTGATAAGGGAGATGGGGTGGAAGGGGTCACCGGTGGCCGTTCTCTAAATACAAAAAAACGCTGGAGAACGCTCGAGACTGATTTAGAGGAAGCACGCTGTGCAGGCGGCCGAAGCCAAACTTTCTTTTGTTCTTTTGCTTTAATTTGCTGGAACTAACAAGAGCTTTCTGTAAAACATCAGGGTGCAGAATGACTCAGAACATGCTGGAAATGAAGAGCTAAATTGGGATTTTTTAGGGTAGGAATCCCTCACTGTCACCTCTATAACACACACCAACTTGTGTCCATATCACACAAACTGCCTTTTCATATGATTTTTTTTTTCTTTTTTACACATCTGCTCTTTTTCGCTCCATTCGCCCGCAAATCTGAGCGTCGGACAAATTTCCTGTGCAGCTTGCCTAATAGACAAACATCCCTGTTTTTCCTAATCATATCATTTCCTCTTGACACATCACACTGCTTCCCGTGGACAAAAATAGAGAGAGAAGCGCTCCAGCTGCTCACCACGCCCCAGACACCAGGCATACGTGCATACCGGAGCCTTGTCATTTATCAGTTAAAACAGTTGCTGCTTCTGCAAATGGGAGAATCTGCTGCTTTTTTTTTTTTTTTTAAACTTCAAATCAAACCTCACTGAAGACATACAGCTTGAAGATTCTAAAGGGCATTTTCTCACCATTTAACTCCCTCATTATGATTGAAACAGCATCCAGTAGTGACTTTCTAATCCTCATAATAACCACATTTTCCCCGTCACTTCCACATCCCCTCCCTCCGATTCCTTCATTATCTCCAGTATATGCTCCACCATCACAACGAGCATGCACCTCCTGTATCACCCCTTTTGTTCGGCAGCATTAAGGGCCCTTGCGTGCGCGGGATTAGATTGGTGTTGATACTTTGTGTTGAAACAAATCCCCTGCGCTGTCACTTCAAATATAGTTAAGCAGCATTCCCCCCGCAGTAAAGAAGTCACTCTCTCACAGTGACATTATGCATAGCTATAAAAATGTCATCTTGCATGACTGAGCGCTCGCTCTGCTTCCGAGTGCTTCCAAATCTCCCTGCTTGCCTGTGCAGCCTCGATGAGGTCGGAGAGGCTCCTCGCGTGAGCCTCGTCGGGAGGAGGAGGGGTGGAAGTTGTGTCTCTCTGTGTTAGTTTGGCTAACTCGCTTTTAAATGACTGGCGAATGAGTCATTTAGGGTGTCGAGACCAAAAAAAAGAAAGAGAAAGCAAAATCCAACGTTTCTAAAGAGCGTGACGGAGCTTAAAAAGAGACAAATGGTGCCAAAGGATGTCAAGTTTTCTTGGAAGGACAAAGATGATTCTTTAATGTTCACTGATTGCTGGATTTAGCGACAGTGATAGATAACAGCCACAACTTTGATCAGTTTCAGGGCGTTTTCTGGCTCCTTTGCATGAAACCAAGCACCATCAGTCCACGCAAAATCAAGACAAGGAGTCTGTCTCACCTTGTTTGACAGAAATCTGCACATTCTCCTGTAATTTCAGACCATTTGATAAACAGTTAAGTCTCTTATCCATGAGCAAATGAATCCCAAATGAACAAAACTTGTTCAGTTCTGGCCATTTTACTTTTACTTTGGCAGGAGCAAGAACCTCTTCGGGGACTGTTGAAATTATCGTGCAAAGATGCCAAAGTTTTGCTTTGTACATGGTGTTCTTTGTTTTACTGTATTGTAAGTTGGATTGAATATAGTCAGGGACTCCTCACACCCTCTCCATAAACTGTTTGAACTGCTACCATCAGGCAAACGTTTCTGGAGCATTAAAGGAAGAACCTCCAGAATGCTGAACTGCTGATCCAGATATGCAAACACTTCTTTGTTTAAGTTGCTTTAAGTTATTGGATCCTGAAGAAACGCTCTCTCATCTTGCCTGTACTACAGCAAAATGACAATAAACTTGATTTGATTTGGATGTCTTTGAGTTTGTGAGTTTTAGAGTGTTGGGTAAGTCAAACAAGTCATTTGGAGACGCCAGCTTAGGAACATTTGTGATTGGCGTTGTAGGAGCAGATCAGGAAGCGCTGCTCTGTATTTGGTGTGAATGGGTCTCACATTAATGTGTTGATTGTCAGTTTTACCGATATAAGGTAGGAACCTCTCTGTCTAGGTAGGGCTTCCAACCGGAGAGTCCAACCAGTTTTTGACCGCTGAGCAACACACGCGAAAGTTACCGTATGTATGGATGTTGATTTGGAAATATGCACTTTAAGAAGATTTGGATATCAAATAAAGAAACTGTGTGCATCGTAAAGCAAGAGGAGTTTGACTTTAATTCATCAGACATAGGTATTATAGCACGTCAATTAAGTTTTCCTGTTTGGATTCCCTCAGGGGCTGCAAGGTGGTTCAGTGGTTAGCACCGTTGCCTCGCAGCTAGAAGGTCGCCGGTTTGCATCCGGTGAGGACACCCGGGATCTTTATACGTGGAGTTTGCATATTCTCCCCGTGCAGCGTGGGTTCTCTCCAGGTTCTCCTCCACAACATGTTGAGGTTAATTGGTGATTCTAAATTGTCCGTAGGTGTGAATGTGAGTGTGTTTGGTTGTCTGTCTCTAAGTGTAGCCCTGTGATAGACTGGTGACCTGTCCAGGGTGTCTCCTGCCTTCACCCTAAGTCAGCTGGCAGCTCCAACCCCTCTTTGACCCGAGTGAGGATTAAGCGGTGTATAGATAATGGATGGATTCCCTCAGTGGCTTAAAACATTGGCTTAGCCTCTACGTACCTCTATGCTTTCACATTTATCGGTTAATGAAATAGCACGTTGTATGAAAACAGAGTAGACATTTTAATAGATGCTAAAAAACAACTGCTGATTTCAAACTCAATTTTTTTTGCTTTCGCTTCATTTATCTGGCCGGTTAATGTGGNGTGCGTGCAGGAGGACAAGTAGATGATGTTGGCCTTAGCTTCAGGCTCCCCCATTGTACAAATGTTTCCCTATCATAGTGGGAGATACTCTGCACTGCTGAGTGTATTTTAACTCCACGGCAGCACTAGCTCTGCGGAGAGAGCAATTTTTTTCGCATCAGATAAAGGACCTCCTTGCCTTTGAGCATGGAAGAACAAAGTCCGGTGGGAACTCTCAGAACCACGGAAGAAAAGAAAAATGGTTATGTGCGCGGCGGAGTGTGGAGGTAGCGTTGAACAGCAGACAAAGCGCAGATGTGACGCCTTGATGTTGCACCTTGTCTGTTTGACGGGAGGATGATTTGATGTTTTCTTGGAACACTTTGCTTGTTTCCTCTTGTCTTGATTTCCCATAAAGCCCCAAATGAATTTTCCTGTGCCTCGCGAAGCTGACATGCTGTGACAGTTGAACGCTGACGTGTTGACAGGTGAGGACGAGACGGGAGAGACAGGTGTCCCAGTTTGTGTGTTTTTTTCTCTTTGTGTAATATTTCTAGTGTGGGGCTGTTTATCGGCAGTCTGAGGCTTTGTGAAGCTGTTAGCCTGAATTCATTCTACTGGTCAGATTTCCTGCTTTGGAGCCCCGACACTTTCAAAAGAATTTGTTTTAATCTTGACATGTAGATGATATTAAACAGGAGTGTACTCACTTTTGTTGAAAAGAATACTGGTTGAAACCAGAAGTTTACATACCCTGTATAAAAAGAAGCATAACCTTTTTTTCTCACTGTCTGATATTAAATCAGCCTAAACTTTTTCTGTTTTAGGTCAGTTAGAATTACCAAAATTATTTCTATTTGCTAAATGCCAGAATAATAGGAGACAGAATTTTTTTTGAGTAATTTGTTATGACTTTCTTCAAAGTCAGAAGTTTACATACACTAAGATCACTATGCCTTCAAACTATTTGGGAAAGCCCAGATGATGATGTCATGGCTTTGGAAGCTTTTGATTGGTTAATTGACGTTTGAGTTAACTGGAGGCACACCTGTGGATATATTTTAAGGCACACCTCAAACACGCTGCTTCCTTTTGTGACAACATGGAAACTCTAAAGAAATCAGCCAAGATATCAGGAAGAGGATTGTGGACCTGGTCTGGTTCATCCTTGGATACAA